GCATCATCACTCCTCCTACACTCCGCTGATGAGAACTGCTCACATGGCGCCCGCTAGGGCAGTCACCTCTCAGGAGCAACACTCCTGTATACAAAGCAATGCATGAGTTTGAGTACACAGTGTGAGGATGTCTCTGCCACAGAACAGCATCTAAAGGCCTCAAGGAACCTCACAAGAAGATTCAGAGTGCAGAGAAGCTGATAGAAGCTGGAGAGAGTCCCTGTCACTGAGCCACGACTACAGCTCCCTTTCATAGGGGAGCAGGAGGCAGGGTTGTGGCTGAGGAGGCAGCTGTTTTAAAGGCACACAGGTATTGTGGTGATATCTGCCAGGCCTTCAGCCTGCTCCGTCTTCCTATGTTCAGGGGCTGTCGGTACAACTGCCTACCTGGGTAGCAGCCAATGAAATCCTTGAAAAAGACTTTCTTTGCAGGTGGGAAAGAAAGCTACAGTTCAGCAGTGTCCTTCCAGCATTTCAGGAGGACATCTGGCAAAGTGGAGGGGGAATGTTAAACACAGAGTTCCCCAAACACACAAAGACTAACAGTTCTGGAGAAACACAGATATTGTTAGAAACAATATGTTAAAATGTTTTATTATTTAGTTACATCTTGCCTGAGCATGAAAAAGATATTAACAGACTGTCAGCTTACTGGGACATAACCCAAAATAACTTACATTTTTCATATATTGCTAATTGTTTTTCTGAGGCTGGCTCAGGCTGGTAAAAGAGATTTCAAGGCTTTCACCAGATGATTTACTTAAAGAATTTAAGCATGCCATTATCTGTTCCCATGGAAACACAGTAAGACAGGGGACAGAAGAGGAGGTCACTTTGACCATAATTAATATAAAGAATAATAGTTTATATGGAATCTAGTAAAGAATATAACAAGATCCTACAATACCTTAAAGCCTTTTCTTCAGCAGTGCAGTTCAATCTTTGGATTGATTTTTAGATACTAGTGTCATTTCGATTGTTTTATTAGTCCAGTGCTAATTTTTGAAGTATAACTACCTTGCCTAGCAAAAATTTTCCAATATTCTTATTTCATTTTTGGTCCAATGATAAAATTCCGGTATTCAGAATTTTTCTAAAGTACTAAGCGGAAATGGATGACTCTACTGGCCTTAAGCTTCTTGTGAATGCTACAGCTCCTCGCCACGTTTTCTCAATCAATACATAAATGGGTAGTTTGTTAACATAATTGATGGTAATCCAGAGGAACCACTAGATTCTGCAGTATGCTTAAACTCACCAAAGAAAAGATTTAATCATGTTCAGTCCAGTTTACATGTAAAGTGTCTAATTCTCTTCTTCTTTTATTATTGGAAATTGGTAATCCACATGGGGTGTCTCTTAGATATTATATCTATTGGCACTTGGTGCACTCCTTAGGAATTTCTACCAAAAGATTCACACTGTACTTTTTAAAAAATCCTTGTGCTTATTTGGATAGTGGACTTGTTGTGCAGTCTCATAAGGTAAATTTTACCGTGGAAGCTTGATGACATGTTTTTCAAAACTCTTTAGTATAGCATTCCAGAAAGAACTAAGGAGAAAAGAAAGAGAGAAATAAAAGAATTGCACTTTCCAATTTCTGAATTTGTAACACACTGAGAAATTATATTGTCAGAAATTATTAGGATTTTTTTCTGTTAGAGCTCTGGCCCAAGAAACATAGGATAACCTCTTCCAGGCAGCCTTGTCTGAGGAATAGATTCAGGGCTGCAGTATGACACTGAGTGGTGTTTACAAACAGGTGGCCTGAAGCTAAATGGAGTCAATATAAAATTTCTCACTCTTTTGAAGATAACTACTTGCTGCCACATGAGTAACAAAATTTTTTTTTGTAAAAATCAAGCTTGAAATCACTTAATCAGGAATGTAAATCAGTTATATGCCCCAATTATAAAAATGTTGATGGGGTTTGCTATGGTATTGATTTTTTGTTATTTTGGTGGAAGAATTACAGCTGTTGTGTGTCTTTATATATATATATATATAATGATATCACATTCCTATTCCAGGAATGCAAACAGTATTATATCCTGCTTGGCAGGCACTCTGGTCACTTGGCTTAGCCAAGAATAAGAACTCTCAGAAGTGCCATTCTATAAGTTTGTAAGAGATCCCCTAAAATAATGGACGGTACACTTCCTATATGTATTTATGTTCAGATAATTTATTTAAATAATGCTGCTGGCACATGCTTTATAGCTGCTTACATTTTGCTACACAGATTTCAGCATATCTTGCAGGCTATGCAATTCATTTGGAAAATGTAATTTCTATCCCTGCATACTAATCGATTTCTTCACAAACACCTGCTATCAGTTATGATAATAAAAATGCCACTCTGAATTGAAAAAGGGCCAAATAGAGCTTCCTAAGGAAATGACTTAAGTGTCTTTGAATGCTACTAAATGTAGTAATGTGCCCGTGTAGTGCCAACACTTTTTTCATCATTTGCATTTTCTGTGATTCTGCCCTATTACAACATCCCTCTCACAAATGATTCCTCATAACCATTTCCTTATGGCTTGGTAAACAGAGCTGTCAGGAGGTGGTATCTCAGGGTGTGGACAGGATCCGTAGTTAGGCTGCATAATGTTAAAAAGTACTGGCTCATGCTGCTGGGTACGTGCTGGATAATTTCTGATTTTATGACTAAGTCCCTAAGAACTGTAAAAGTGCCTGCTACTTGGTTTTGTACACATATACACCAAATAAAGTCTCCTTTATGCATTCTCTTCAGCCTTCAGTTCGTTCCATGCACCACTGCCAAACTAATGTTCCTAAATCCCATTTGCATCATGTCCTTCCACTACCCCAAGCACTGTCAGTGGTTCTCAGTTGGCCGCTCCATTGAACCTAACCTTCCCCGTCTTCTCGCATCGCCTGACAGGGATCACCTTTCTCTCACTGCTTCCAGGCAAACACTTGCCCTTTTGGTCAAGTTTCTCTCCATCTTGCCCCAAGGATTCTACCTTTGATTTTCATCTTCGGGCTTTTGCCTGTGCTCTGGCTCCCGACTGAGAGACAGCCTTCCCAAGTTCTTTGGTTTTTCATCTTTCAAAGCCCTCTTTTATTCCTTCAGTCTGAATTTTTCTTTCTCTTCTCTGAACTCCTATAGGATACAGTTTTTTGTCATGTATCTCAACTCATTTATTTATTCATTCAAGCAGCATTTATTGAGTGCCTAATGTATTCCAGACATCAAACCATTCTTTCTTCCTTTGAAAGCAATAGTTTCTTTTTAAGTGTGTCAGTTTTTACTAGGCTTTAAGCTCTTTGAGAGAGGAGGTATATACTGTCTCCTCTTTTTGTGGTCTGAGATGCCCGCACAGACCTGAGCACAGGTAAATATGAAGTAAATGCATGTTAAGTAATTGATCCCGACTGGCTTGAGGTAGCGGATTTTCTGGGTAATTGCATGTTCTGTTTGATTAGTAGTTCAGTGTGTACTACACAGAGATTATCATTTTGCAAGATGGAATAGTGTAAAACACTCAACTGTAAAACTATTATTAACATAATTTGACGTTTGATATTTGAGGAGAGAATTCACTGTGGTCTCAGAGCACCTCAGTAAAGCTTTGTCACCATGGAACTGTAATGTGCGCTCAGGAGGCTGACCTTGATTTGGTCCTCCGACACGGGAACAGGGGCTGGAAGCGGGCGTGCACTGGGCCTGCTGTGCAGTGGGCCTGCAGCATGACCTGACGTACTGGAAGTTACATGTGCGAAGTTTCTGGTAACAAGCGTTTCACATTTTCTTTCACTTTCCCTTTGCTTAGCAAAGTGGGGAATGGCTTTTCTGTGAGGGGGAAGATTAAAAGGAGACTGGTGGGAGAGTAGGTGGGGGAATGTGAGACTGGTTTTAAACAGCCTGGTAAGAACTAAACACACATGGACCAACGATAATCAAGAGCAGAGACTCTGGAGCCTGCAGCCTGGGTGTGAAGGCTTTCAGCTACGTACTCTGCAGGATTGAACAAGTTACGTAACTTCTCTGTGCCACATTTATTTCATCTGTAAGGATGGGGATAAGACCAACGGCATCACAGGCTTGTTGGGGGGATGAAGTGAGTGAGTTCATACAAAGCTCTTGGTCCAGTACTTTGTGAGTGCTCAGCAGGCTTTGATGATTCTCAGAGAGACCCCTAAGCAATAAGGTGGAAACTAGGAAAAGGGATTCCCTACCCTCAATTTCTGTTTTGTACCATTGGTTCTTTTTCAGTTTCGGCTATTTCTGAAGCCTTGAGATGCATGAGACCCTGAGTTAACGGTCTTGGTTTCTTAGTAAGATGAATATATGAATGAAGTCTGAATCTAAACATGGAGAATTTGGGGTTTCAGGGAGAGGTATTGGAGTAACCACTCAGCCTTGCAGAGGAAAAGAGTTTTAATTTGTTGGGGAAACAGATGGAACTAGGTTCCCATTCTGATAGGAGTTAGAGAAAAACAATCTGTACAATTTGTCCCAGCAGTAGAGCAGGAAGGAATGGTGTGCATATAAATTCCTCCCTCCCCTGGGAAGCTGCCGCATGTCTCAACCTGTAGAACTGCTGATTATTTGAAAGAAAGCAGCCCTCCAAGGAGCTAAGCAATCCTGTAGAAAGGGGGAAGACAATATTTAGCAGATGTGATTGTTGCCTGGAATTCTGAATGTTGTCACCACCTAGCACCACATACCAATTTCTGTGAGGGCATCTAGCATTGAGGGAGAGGTGAAGTGACAAGAATCTGGGAGGAATTAATCCCGCACCCATAAGAAACATTCATACATAAGACGGGACTAACAATAGATAAAAATTCCAAGAGAAGTGATGCATACCGACTACAAAATAGAGAGCACCGGGGTAAGGCATTTTGGCTTTATTCCTGAGCAGGTACAAACATTAAGAATGTGGGTGACAGACTCCCTTTCGCACAGAAGGCCTCCTCAAGCTGAGCAAGAAGGTAACTCACTTGAACTCGTTCTGTTTGTCCTTCAGCCCTGGCCGCTCAGGCCTACGCTCTGAAAGAGGAGAATGACAGTCTCCGCTGGCAGCTGGATGCCTACAGGAATGAGGTGGAGCTGCTGAAACAAGAGAAAGAACAGCTTTTCCGAACAGAAGAAAACCTCACCAAGGACCAGCAACTGCAGTTCCTGCAGCAAACCATGCAAGGCATGCAGCAGGTACCCCACCCAGGTGGTTTTTTGAGATAAAGGGATATGTGTATTAAATGAAAAGGGAAAGGCAGCTGTGTGCTGGAAAGGGTGAGGAAGAAATGACAACCCAAAAGGTACGCTCCTAGGAAAGGACTAATGAGTGTTTGTGGAAGGGTAGAATCTGGAGAAAAGCCAAGCCAATAAAATATATTGAAGAAATCACCCCAGAGGTAGGAAATAAAGGAAAATGATTTGGATTTAGGAGATTGAAAGGCTGTATGTGAAATATAGCCCCATGGCAAACATCTAGCAGATTGCTGCCGATCATGATACAAGTGTTTTGTAATCTTAGAACTTTTAAGTTCATGCATGACAACTGATTTTACAAAAGCAGTTTGTCTGTCTTCAAGGTTAGTATAAATGTAAATTATATTGTTTTCACTTTTCCTATATTACACTTAGGATCTAGTCAGGTGCTACGAGCACATTACATGTTTAAGAAATGTTTGTTGATGGAATAGATGAAGCATCCGAATTTTAGGTAACTTTAGAAACAGGGCAATAGCTATGTTTTTGCTGAAGAGTGCCAGACTTCATCCTGGCATACTGAATTTAAAAGATGTGTATTTATGGCAAGTGTTGAAAGGAAATGATATTTGAGGGCTTTGGAGTAGAGAAAAGGAGCATGTACTGTTGGAAATAAAATGTTGACAGGAGAGGAAAATCTGACTGTTGGCAATGAGGAAATAGAATCAAAGATTCACAGGTAGATTTGTATCTGAAAACGTCAATTGGTACTTGATATTCTTAAGGTGTTTGGGCCTTTGAGTCACCTTAAAATAATAGAGCATAAATTATCATCTTGGGTATGTTTTAATTACCCCTCTGAATATACAAATCCAATCAATATTATTTTCTGGAAAACAAAAGATTGCTTTTATTTAAAGAAGAGAAATATAAGTAGAATGATGGATGGAAAGTTAGAATATATAGTGAGTCGAATTTTTTTTAATTCCATCATTCATATTGACTGCTCTGTAACATCCAGAGTATGAATTGCCTGCAGAAGTATCTTAGTGATTAGAGCTAACTACTACAGAAACATCAGCCTAACAGGGAAAAATAATTGAGAGGGAGAGTATAAAAGATCAGGAAGTGAGCAAGTTAATGACCAACTCACACAAATTATGTCTTAAACATCTCCTGCCATTTTGAAGCAATTTTTGAGTCTTGGCTTGGAGTCCTAACTGGTTGATGTTCACAGTGTGTGTTAGACTAATCAGTGAGATTCAGAGGTCAGAGCCAGCCAGGAAAATGTCATTACAGTCATTGCTCAGGTCTCTGTACTTGGAAATCGATGTAACAGCTGCTGTGTGAGGCTTCTGGGGTTGTCCATATGCCCCAACATTGGGTGTTTGTCAGCGCCCTTGCCAAGATGAGAGGCTGTCGATTTCCCCAAAGACCACGGCATCAGACCTAGCCCAAAAGCCACTATGTCACACTTTATACAACTCTCCCTTTTTCCCTCCAGAAACAATTATCCCAATTGCTTTAAAAGTACAGTCTTTTAGGTTATTGCAGATTCAATCTAAATCTAAAAGAAGTCAGAGAATGCAGGGGTGAGCTGCTCAGTCACGGCTGCAAAAGCACTGAGGAGCCACGTGACTGATCCACAAAGGCGCAGTGTTTCAAATCACCACCTGAGCCATCCTCCTGAACAAGGGATTCAGTTAATGGAGCTTCTCATATATTTTCAGAATCTCCTTGTCAGTAGGAAACGTACTTTATATAGCTAAAAATGTAGTTGAGACAGAAATGTATTGTCTCATAGTTCTGAAGGTTACAAGGCCAAGATCTAGGGTCCAAGAGCAGGGTTGGTTCCTTCTGAGGCTGTGAGGAAGACTCTGACTCCTGCCTGTCTTCCAGCTTCTGGAGGCTGGCTCGTCATCTTTGGCCTTCCTTGACTTGTAGGCATATCACCCTGCTCTCTGCCTTCCTTATCTCTTGCCATTCTCCATGTGTGTGTGTGTGTCCAAATTTCTTTCTTTCTTTTTTTTTTTTTTGAGACGGAGTTTCGCTCTTGTTACCCAGGCTGGAGGGCAACGGCGCGATCTCGGCTCACCACAACCTCCGCCTCCTGGGTTCAGGCCATTCTCCTGCCTCAGCCTCCTGAGTAGCTGGGATTACAGGCACACACCACCATGCCCAGCTAATTTTTTGTATTTTTAGTAGAGACGGGGTTTCACTATGTTGACCAGGATGGTCTCAATCTCTTGACCTCGTGATCCACCCGCCTCAGCCTCCCAAAGTGCTGGGATTACAGGCGTGAGCCACTGTGCCCAGCCCCCAAATTTTTTTTTATAAGAACACAGTTCATATAGGATTAGGGGCCCACTCTGCTCCAGTATGACCTCATCTTAATTACTTATATCTACAAGGACTTATTTCCAAATAAGGTCACATTCTGTGGTAGTAGGGGCTAGGACTTCAACATTTGGATTTGGGGCGGTGGGGGTGGGGTGGGGGTCATAATTCAATCCATAACAGACACATAGTAGACAGTCAGAATATCTGCGTCAAATGAAGGAATGAATAGACAAAGGCCTGGAGGCAAGGCTAGCATGGTGCCAAGGGAGCTCTGGGCTGCGCGGAAGCCTAGATCATGAAGAGCAAGGTGGGGAGTGGGAGAGCCAAGGCCCGAGAGGTGTGTGCGGTGCCTCCTTAGCCTGCAGAAAGCACTTGGTCCCTGGTGGCTGCTGTGGTTTTCATGTTTACCGGTTGTTAGGCGGATGCATGACTATCTCTGCAGCAGAACATCTTTAACAGAGTTTTAAAATACATGTGCTTTTTAAAGAGTCTTATTTCTATCATGATCTACCATGCGTGAGGAAATTACCACAGTTTGCTTACCACCACAAAGAATTAGCCTGGCTTTAAAACCTTCCTTCAGTCTCCCCACTATCTACTTCATAAATCAGAAAATCATGGTTTCACATGAAAGATGACAGAGAGAGGAGGGTTCAGCCTCCCACACGTCACCATTTCCACAGTCTAAGTTTGTTATTTCTGTAACAAACAACAAAAAAAGAAAGAGCCTTAATGACCTTAGGACTAGCTGATAGCTTTTGGAATTGCCTTCAACCCTTAGCCAAAAAGTTTCTAATCTTTCCCTTAAGGATATGTTCACTGACATCACAGTTTGTCATGTGTTCATGAAGAAAACATTATGGGCAGGGTTCCTAAAATGGAAAAACCCTTGAGTGACTTTGGATGTTTCCAAGTTTACCCCTGGACCATGTGAATCACAATTTAATAATATTAAAGGCTTCATACAAAAGAGAATAAGAGTTTGTATCCATGGTAACACAGTAGCCTTTACCTGATCATAAGCTGATGGTGAAGTTAACCTGTCTCTGCCGCAGGGATAGTGAGACTTTTGACTTTCATTTGCACCTTTAGGTACACAAGCAAAGAATATACATATTTTAAACTCTTATTTTTCTTCATGTTACCACACTGTTTTATTAAGGTAAAATTTATATACAATGAAACATATTCTTTTTAGGCATACGTTCTATGAAGTTTGACGCATACAGTCACATCACCACCTCTACCACAATCAATATGTAAATCAGTTCCATCACTCATTCCCTTACGCCCCTTTTGAGTCAACCCCACTCCCAGCAACCACTGCTATTTTCTATCCTTATAGTTTTTCTTTTTCTTAAATGTCATATATTTGAACAGTATGCGATCATATGACATTCTGGAACAGTATTGAACAGTATGCAGCCTGTTGAGTTGGGCTTCTTTCCTTTAGCATAATGAGTCTGAGACTGCTCTTGTTGCTGTACATATCAGGTGTTCATTCCGTCTGATGCTGAGTAGTATTCCACCATAAGAAAGAGCTGTGGTTTGTATATCCAGTCATAATATTAGTGGATGGATAGTCCCCAGTTTGGGACAAATAGGAATAAATCTGCTGTAAACATTCACTTACAAGCTTTTTGTTTAGACATAATTTTTCATTTTACTTGAGCAAATCCTGGGACTATAATTGCTGGGTCATATGCCAAGTGTGTTTAACTTTTGGAGAAACTGCCAAACTCTTTTCCCCAGCGTCTGTACCATCATGCATTCCCTCGGGACTGTATGCAAACTCCAGTTCTGCATCCTCATCAGTCGGCACTGATAGGGTCAGTTTGTTTTATCTTTTTTCACCACCATTGTAAATTTACAGTGATATCTCATTATGATTTTATTCACACCTAAATTTGCAGTATTTCATTTTCATTCATGAGAATAGGTCAGTATGTAATATTTTTGAATAATCCACTTAAAAATCAGAATTGTTTTTGATGACTTGTGTAATCATATTGACAAGACTAATAAATATTTGGATAACAGGATATCATTAAAAACTGCTGATCATCAAAGTGTGTATGACTAATGATGATTATGTCAGAAGGCTCCTTCCTAAATACTTTAAGTTGATGCTTTTGAATAGTGTTAAATCTAATCTGAGGACCAGCTGTCTTAGGCCAGCAAGCCATTGGCCCATGTGCAGCAATGGCTCTCTCACACTCTTAGCTTGGCATTAGTAAGGTGCAGGCCTGGTCTGCTGTCTTGACAACTTTCAACAAGGGAAGATCAGGAAAAAAAATGGGAAAAGTAGGATTATTATGATCAAAAGCATTTTAGAAGTTAAGTGACAAGTATTTTTTTTCTTTATACTCAAAGTAGAATGTACGTGTGATTTTCTGTGTGTATATTGTAAAAATCTCACCCATTCAGACTAATTTTATGGAAGATGAAGAAATATAACATTACTACTTCCCTGAAATACAAAGTAGCCCCAGTTAGTTTTGCCAGAGGTTGAGTAAGAGTCAGACTTTGGAATAGCTATTAAGGAATAAATGAAAGTATTTTTGAAGTTAAACATAGCGATTACATCTGACGCCTTGAGTAAGTTCAGCATGTCTTCTGCAATCTTGTTTAAACTATTTAGTTGCTTAGAAAGTACTTTC